CAGAGAGGCGAAATGACGCGGGTTAGTGAAAGCCTTCGGGAAGCTAGTCAGCCGATGTGTCTCCTCTCGACGAAAGCCAAAATAAGAATGGGGACGTGGAATGTTCCTGCAATGTACGAGACCGGGAAAACTGCCCAGGTAGCCAAAGAAATCCGAAGATGTGACATAGAAGTGATGGGTATCTGCGAGAGCAAATGCAATGGATGTGGATTATCAAAATTATCAACTGGTGATTCAGTAATCTACTCTAGTCACCCAGACGACAACCACCAGCACACTGAGACAGTGGCTAACACGATGTCACCAGTGGCAGCCAAAGCCCTGATACCCGTCGAGGAAGGAGATGGCTAGGCATACATAACACATATCCTAGCCATCTCAGTCGATGTAACTTCACAGCCTCGTCGATTGATTTCCCCTCCTTACCTAGCACTCGACGCTTAACCTCAATATTGCTCACCTTGTTATACCACTTCACACGGGAGGTAGAACGCAGGCACCTATGATCAAAGACAGCTAGCGAGCTTTTTCATGTCTTCCACTTTCAACGGCCAGGTCTCACAGTCATAAAGGAGGACGGAGTGGACTGCTGAGCAGTACACACACCCTTTGGTCGATAGCCGGATATCACGTCTACACCAGAGACGGTGTAAACTGGCATATGCCGAACGAGCCTTCTATATCCGTGCTGAGATTTCGTTAGCGATCAACCTGCTGGCACTGGCTGATGCAACTTCCCAAATAAGTGAAGTGGTCAACGCGCTCTACCATTTTACTCCGTATTTCTAAGCTAGGAGTCAATGTAGTCCAGTCCTGTAGCATCACCTAACATTTGGCGGTAGCGAATCGCATGCCAAACATTCGCAGATTGCAGCTCTAGGTGTTCAGAGCACTCTGCATTTTGTCAGCGTCTTCACCTGCATATTCTAAGTCAACGAGATTTTTCCTTAGTAAGAAGTCAATCCCTGAGTTGCTGAAATGAGTTAGGGTTAATTACATTAATACATCTATTATGAAATTGAATAGAAATGGGGATAGTGGGCTGTAGTGACCCGTTTTATTACTCATCATCGCAGTATGCTTTCACTATGTAATGGGACTTTGATTTGTTTATTACTCTAAATCTTGCATGTTAACAATTGATACTTTTGTACTCGCTCGATTTTTGAATTTTGATTGCTGCAATAATACACTATCGTATTCCTTCGCAAGTGCCTTTTGAATTACGTTGTGGATGTCGAGTAATTGCAACGTTAGGACACAATTATAAACGCGAAGAAGTACTAAGATATACGTGTACGCTAGTTTAGCCAGAATATAGCAGCACAACAATTGGTGAGCCCGACATAGCTGATCGATCGACTACGGTAGACGTTAAATGTCACGTTCTAGAACAGCTGTTAAAATTTCACTTGGAAATTTTTTTATCAATAATTTTAATAAAATTGTGTTATATGTCACCTGGATTGATGGGAATTCCCATTTTCTGGCCAGTTATTTTGGTGTCCGCGTCATGTAATCTGACTGCGACACCCCTTAGCATATCGGTTGCAACGATCAGTGTTTCAGGCGAACTGTAGCAAAATATCGCTGTAATGAGAAAGATGGGATAGTTGAAAGGTAATGTCATCTACACAAATAGTCTAATTTATTTAGATGCTGCACCTTTCGGCATGGTATCATTCAATGGATATTAATTCAGCCTATTTTCGTGTGAAGAAGAGTCCTTTTTAACAAAAGAATTCTATCAGTACTTGGAAATCACCTGTAAATGCTAACAGAACCTTCTGTGGGAATAGAAGTAATCATGTAGATGTGTCTCACCGTATGTGTGTTTGGACGGAATTATCGTAAGTTGAGAGGTTATTTCTAAGTGTATTTCATGTATATTTGCACTGTTTGGTGTAGCGTAATAAGAGTTACATGGACTCAATGCATAAAAATATCTCAACTTCATTAATATTGTGCCATTGCTAAGCTGACTGCTTGGCTGGCAAACGTAGGTGGTTGTCATGATTATTGTAAGTGCAGTGCAGTGGAGAAGGCAATCACTCGTTTAAATTTCTTTACTGTGTCACTTAGTGCATTAATTCAGTGTATAGTATTATTATACACATGGATTGTGTCAATTATGAGAACTGAATCTAGTCAGCTCTATTACTATCAATCTACTGCTCATCGATCGACTACACCATTTCGAAATATACACACAGTGGATTTAATTATCTTTGCTACCGTATTTACTTTTATAACTGCATAACATTCGGATATATATTTGCTGATATTTTTTGCTTAAAGTACCTCGGTAAGCAGAACATTTTTGGACATTTTTGAACTTACCTATATTCTGTTCTGTTTTTGCTCACTTTTTATAATTTTGCTGTCACCTATATATATTCTTCTCTGCACTTTTATGATGTCATTTAATACTGATAACGACACTTTAAGTACAAGGTCTGTGGCTGCAGTTACCATATCCATACCACCTTTTAAACCTAACGACCCATATTTGTGGTTCACTCGCCTGGAACACTACTTCCTAGCCAACCACGTCACTTCTCAGACTACAAAATTTGGCCTTGCAAGCTCCATATTACCTGACGATGTAGCAGAGCAAGTACGAGAGACGCTCATACATCCAGATCCAGAAACTCCGTACGATGTTTTCAAGCAGAAGGTTATTAAAGTTGCTTCATTATCAGATCAGAAAGCCATCGATCAGCTACTCAGCAATGTTAGCCTGGGCGATAGAACACCTTCTCAACTCAAAAGCCATATGTATAACATTTTAGGAGATCGGAAGGTAGACGCCAGGTTTTTCTATCAATTGTGGCTAAGAAGATTACCCCACAACATTCAGCAAGTATTAGCATTTGGAGATGAAGACGTAGATATTTACAAGTTGGCAGAAATCGCTGACAGAATGTATGAACGGATATCTCCACAAGTAACATCTGTAGTCGACAAAACGTCAAACGAACGCATAGAAGCCTTAGAACGTAAAATCGACGTGCTCACTGAGCAATTAATGACAATGAGGGTTAATAGACAACCTACCACAACGTACAGAAGACAGCGTAGCCACTCACGCAATATGCGTAAATATACCTTACAACAGACTATATGCTGGTATCATCGCAAATTTGGGGTAAACGCAAAACGGTGCACACAACCTTGTGCTTTCCAACAAACGGTGACGTTGGGAAACGAAAAGGCCGGCGGTCGGTGACGACTGCGGTCGCTGGCCAACACACGTCCCTCAGCCGTCTATTCAGGGTGACAGACAAAACAACGGGGGCACAATTCCTGGTAGATACCGGTGCAGAAATTAGTGTAGTTCCCCCAACACCCAACGAACGCTTACAACCAAACCCAGCATTAGTTCTCAAGGCTGTGAACAATTCTACCATAAAAACGTTTGGAACTCGGAGACAAAAACTTAATTTTGGATGCAGTACACCATTTGAGTGGGGGTTCGTAGTCGCCGACGTAACCTTTCCTATCATTGGAATAGATTTTCTTCAACACTACGAATTGCTAGTTGACTCTAGTCACCATAGATTGATAGATAGCAGTCGTAAACTATCGATTTCAGGCATCTCCACAGATGTCGAGAGTATTCGCTTGATGGTAGCCACAACAGATCAATTATCCAGGTACGATATTTTGCTAAAGAAATTTCCTGAACTGACACAGAGCGATTACTCCACAGCCTCTCTCAAACACAACGTAACACACCATATTGTAACTAAAGGTCCACCGGTCTCAGCAAAACCACGTCGTTTAGTTCCAGCTAAAATGCAAATAGCAAAAGCAGAGTTCAACAGATTATTGGATCTAGGAATAAAACGACCGTCAAACAGCCCATGGTCATCACCACTGCATATGGTATCAAAGAAAAACTCAACAGAGATACGACCATGTGGAGATTACCGAGCTTTAAATAAGCAGACGATAGCAGATAGATACCCAATTCCACACATCCACGATTTTTTCCATAACATGGCAGGTGCTCAGATATTTTCCAAAATTGACCTCGTTCGTGCATACTACCATATACCGGTGGAGCCCAAGGACATCCCCAAAACGGCGGTAACCACTCCTTTTGGCTTATTCGAGTTCGTCCGCCTACCATTTGGCTTGACTAACGCAGCTCAAACATTTCAGAGATTCATTGACCAGGTATTGCACGGCCTCCCATTCACTTACGCTTATATCGATGATATATTGGTTGCAAGTAAATCCCCTAAGGAGCACCAACATCACTTAGAAACACTCTTTAAACGTTTAGCCGAATATGGAATTGTCATTAAACCAAGTAAATGTGAATTCGGTAAGAAAACTATAAAATTTTTGGGACATCATGTAGACAATCAAGGTATTCGACCAATAGCAGAACAGCTGCAAGTCATAAAAGAATACCCGATTCCAGATTCCTTCAAAAAGTTACGCAGATTTCTTGGTCTCGTCAATTTTTATCGCCGTTTCATTCCTCACTGTGCACAGCTGGCCCAACCTCTGACAGATCTACTAAAAGGTCATGCAAAATCGCTGCACATGAGTACTTCAGCAATCGAGGCATTTGAAAAGCTGAAACAAACTCTAAGCTCAGAAACTTTACTAGTACGTCATGACGTCAACGCTCCTATAGCGATTATGACAGATGCATCAGACGTCGCCGTCGGTGCAGTTCTTCAACAATTTTCTGCTGGGAAATGGAAACCTCTCTCCTTTTTCTCCAAACGTCTAGATGCCACTCAATCAAGATATAGTGCATTCAGTAGAGAATTACTAGCAATCTATCTTGCTGTTAAACATTTTCGTCATATGGTAGAAGGAATACCGTTTACTATCTACACAGACCACAAACCACTAACCAAGGCCATGAATGCAAAGCACGACAAGTACTCGCCAAGAGAACTCCGACACCTCGAGTTCATTTCTCAGTTCACTTCAGATATTAGATTCATAAAAGGACATAAAAACGAAGTAGCAGATGCGTTATCCCGCATCCATATAAATACCTTAGAAAAAGACCAGTTTGATCTTAAAAATATGGCTAGACTGCAAACTATGGACGAGGATCTGAAAAGAATAAAAAATAGCACGAGTACTTCCTTACGTTTGCAAGATGTTATGCTTGATGAAGGCCTAACTATTACGTGTGATATTTCCAAAGGTAAACCGCGCCCTTTTGTCCCACTAGAAATGCGAAGATCAGTTTTTTCCAAAATACATGGCATTTCGCACCCTGGCATCCGAGCAACAGTTAAACTGATAAGTGACCGATATGTATGGCCGAATATGAATCGGGAGATTAAACATGGGCCAGATCATGTTTAGCCTGCCAAAAGTCAAAAGTACAACGACATACAGTTTCACCTAATGGCCAGTTTCCAGAACCTGATGGTAGGTTCCAACACATACACATTGACATCGTTGGACCGTTACCACCATCTAATGGCTTTACGTACATTTTAACGTGTATTGACAGATTTACGAGATGGCCAGTAGCTTGTCCCTTACCTGATATTTCTGCTGAAACTGTTGCAAAGAGCATCATGCAAAATTGGATTTCCAACTTCGGAGTGCCCACCATTATTACTACAGACAGAGGTGCCCAATTCGAAAGCCATTTATTACAACAACTCACAGAACTACTGGGAATCAAACGTATACGTACTACTGCATATCATCCCAGTTCAAACGGCTTAGTGGAGAGATTTCATCGTCAACTGAAAGCATCACTGATGGCAGTGAAGGATGATGATAAGTGGAGCGATAAATTACCTCTTGTACTTCTTGGAATACGTTCGACAATAAAACAAGATATCAAATGTTGCCCAGCAGAATTAGTTTATGGTACTACTTTACGACTACCTGGAGAATATTTCAACCCAGCCACTGAAGTTCCAGCTGACGAAACTACTTTTGTGCAACAACTGAGACAACATATGAGCCTTTTAAGATATCACCCACCGCGACATCAGCTCAACCAAGCATACATGCCTGAAAAACTAGAAAATTGCACGCATGTTTTCATACGACACGACGGTGTAAGGAAACCACTTCAACCACCTTATGACGGACCATTCAAAGTAATAAGCAGAACAAGCAAAATCATCACTGTCGAACGCGGAGGAAAACACGAGATTGTAAGCATCGATCGCGTAAAACCAGCTTTCATGGAAATAGAGGTGACTGAATTTTTACCCAAATCAACATCATCTCAAGATTCAAAATCTGGTGATATTCCGTCTAACAAAAAAGAAAGAATCACAAGATCAGGCAGACGAGTACATTGGTCACAAAGATTTGTACAGACAATTTATTTCCAATTCATTTCCATAGTACCTTATTACGGTACTATTAACTGCATATAAGATATAAATCTATTCTGTAACTCCTTACAATAAAAATCCCATTATTATTCTAATAATTTTTCTGGATTTATTGTTACATTTTGCACAACTTTCTAAACATTTTGGTTCGTTTCGAAGTTGTTAACATTTTCGCATATATACAGTTATATTATCAAACCTCAAAAACTTAAAATCCTCAATTCGGTTTTCATACCAGAAACTCGTATTTATCTCTTCTGTAATTGTAATTTACAATATCATTCCGAATACAGGTAAACTTCATTTACCTGCATTCTACGGAGGGGCTATTGTAGTGACCCTTTTTATTACTCATCATCGCAGTATGCTTTCACTATGTAATGGGACTTTGATTTGTTTATTACTCTAAATCTTGCATGTTAACAATTGATACTTTTGTACTCGCTCGATTTTTGAATTTTGATTGCTGCAATAATACACTATCGTATTCCTTCGCAAGTGCCTTTTGAATTACGTTGTGGATGTCGAGTAATTGCAACGTTAGGACACAATTATAAACGCGAAGAAGTACTAAGATATACGTGTACGCTAGTTTAGTCAGAATATAGCAGCACAACAGGGCATCCCTGTCGGACACCACTAGTTGTCACCACTTCAGATGGCAACTTGCCGTAAGCTCTTACCTGGCTGCATGAGTTCGAGTAGAGTGCCTTGGTCAGTGCAATTTATTCTCTTGACATTCCCTTCACTGCTAAACATCACCATAGTACCTCTCGGTCGACGAAATCAAATGATGCTTTCAGGTCAAGAAGTATGATGATTGCTGGATGCCAGTAAGTATGCCTATGTTCCGTTTCAGAATCTGTCGAAGGATTTGAGCGATACACCCTCTTCCTGGTCTGAAGCCTGCCTGGTTCTCGTGTTTGTGCCTCCCGAGCACCACTTAGTCTACGCATTATTATTGAGCCTAGAACTTTAGATGCCGTATTAGTCAAGCTAATCCCCCTGTGATTATCACAGGAAGACTTATCTCCCTTCTTGTATATCGGGATAATCAACGATTTACACCAACCCAACGGGACTTCCTCTGATTCCCAGACGCTGCCTAGTACCTTAGTTAACGCATATAGTAAACTGCCTCCACCATCCTTAAACACCTCTGGAGTCAATCCATCAGGTCCCGCAGCTTTGCCTCGTTTCAGACTAGTGACAGCTTTAGTAGCCTCAGTTAGGGACCGAGGACCTGTTTCCACATCCCATTCAGGGAAGTGTTGGATGTTCGGTAGGTTGGGCGTCGCTGTAGGTAGGCCAGTTGAATCGATCCTCAAAGTGTTCTTTCCAGCGTTCTAGTCGTCTATCCTGGGAGCTAATTACGGTTTAGCGGTGAATAATTCCCCAAAATTATTGGCCACAGCATTCATCACTGAACACTGGATGCTGACACTCACTGTTTAAGTCAACTTGTTTAGCTGAAGGCTTCCGGTCAAGCATACACGCCATTTGGTACTCCGTCGTGTCACGTTCGTTCGCTCGTGCACGATCACTGGCTAGCTAAGCAATCATCTCGCACTCCGATTTGGTCCCGAAATATATCTCTTAATTTGGAAGATCAATTATTGTGTTTTGCTTTGCCTTTGGTCTACGCGGAACGAATACTATGGAAGTTGTGAGTATTAGATCTTGCGTTAGTATACTTCGTACTATCCATGAACGTCAATACTTTCAGCTTCTAAACTGGTGAGCAATTCCGCGAACTTCATCTTTGGTATATACAAAGACAAATCTGCTGAGTTCGTTCCATTTTGCTTTTAAACTTTATATATTCCGCCATGAGTGATCATACTCCTAAGGTCATCTCTACTCGATTTACTACCGAAACCACTCAACTCGTGGCACTTTAGCCAGATAATGCGGAATCATGGTTTTGGATAGCTGAGTCTGGTTTCAGTGAACATTGGAACACTAACCAACGTTCACAGTTCATTGTAGTTGTCCACGCTCAACCTTAGGAATTAGGCAAATGTGCATATGTCGAGCCCAGAGGTAAGTAACTTGTATGAGTTTCTTAAAGCAACCCTCCTAAGGAGAAACGTTCTCACGGTCCAACAGCGTCTGGACGAATTATTTCGCAACATCGAGTAAGGTGATCGGCCAGCCGTGAGTATGATAACAAGAATGAGGGAAGTTATTGGCCAACGTCAGTTTGATGAAGGACTTTTCAGAGACCTTTTCTTATCCAAACTGCCACAGTCAATACAGGCTGTGCCGGTGACACTTCAGGGTGTTATTATAGATGACTAAGCTGTTTCTGCGAATACAATTCTAGGGTATAATCGTAGTCTAATCGCTGTCCTAACAAACCTCCTGGCATGGTAGGGCCTGCAGGAACAATAATTTCTACCATTATAGCTTGTTGAGTCGATGTCATATGCAAGCCCGTTCACCACGTCAAGGTGGCTGCCACCAGTTAGGAGCAGAAGTGGGCTCAGATCACAATCTAATTCAAGTAACCCACAGGGGGAAGCCCAAATCCACCAAAACCGCTAGAGACCGGTCAGAAACCAAGTTAAACTTTCTCAAATTGAAGGAAAAATCTACAAAATGTGTGTAAACTATTAAATATAATTATACTCTACGAATACTTTCACTACAGGTCAGATCAGACCAAAGTCGTAGACACCACATGACATTACTGAGGAGACCTGTGTGGAAACAACTTCAACACTATGCCACGAAGAGCCCCAAATCTTTACCAACCTCATTCAACAGCTATATGACAATGCCACGTGTCTAGTGATCCACAACGGAAAGCTCAGCGGGGCGTTCGAAGTGAATACAAGAGTAAGACAGGGCTGCCTATTACCACCAGTGTTATTACTGATTGTGGTGGACTGGATTATGCGTCAGACTGTGCGTTGGGGGTGAGAACACAGAATACACCGGACTGATACGAAGACTAAGAAGATCTGGATTTCACGTATGGATAATTTATGTTTGATGTCACACAATCTCGAAGACTTGCAAGCGAAAAACCACAAACTGGTTGAAGAGGCTGGTAGTGAAGACAGGACTCCGGGTGAATTTTTGCTGATCGTTGATTGTCCCAGTTTATAAGAAAGAAGACAAGCCTTACTGAGATAATCCAATGAGGATCAGCTAATCAAGGCACTCTACTCGAGATAGTACAGGTGAGTAAGAGCTGATGGACTGTTGTCATACAAATGACGACCACCAGGTGTTCATCAGGGATTCACACTATCACTACTCTTATTGAATTTCACCCTATACACTGCATTGCATAAAATATACATCCGAGTTTATGAATCACTTTGTAAAACTCGCCAAATTGATTAGGATGGTTACACAATGATTTCGAAAGTTAAGCCTGGATTTTGGTTGTTGTTATTGTTGTTGCAAAATGGTGTAAACATTGTAGTGTTTTCAGCTTACACTTCAAGTGAAGCAAATTCGAAACAAATCAAATCCCTACAAATAAACTCTTGAAAAGCAATTAATGCTTGAGTATTCCATATGGCCCAAAACGCACGTATTGAAGAGAAAACCACCCGATATTATAATTCGCTTGAGAGAGGGATTTCGAAAGTAGTGTGCACACAGCTGTTCAATTGCTTGTCAACAAACGGCTGAAATGCTTGGCCAGTGATCGCTTTCTTCTTGGCCGGTGACAAGCTGGGACCTACGTTGGTGATGCCTTCAATAGACAGTCTTGTAATGTCATCTATCAGTCGTTTTAGGCGGACATCTATGGATAGATTATCATGATTGAGTAGGTCTGTGCCAATGAAGGGTATTGTGACGTCAGTGAGTAGGAATATCCACTGAGAGGGTTTGCGTTAACTTGTGTTCAGATAGTTGTATTTCCTACCGGAGGTAGTTATAGGTTTTCCATTTGCAGTCAGCAATTCGAAGGTGGGTTCATTCCTTCGATCTGCCTCTGTAGCTGGAAAGGCGCCCGTATCGACCAATTACCGGTTCTGGTTGACTAAATCGCGGATGTATAGTAGGTGGCTACTGCCAGCAGCGATGGTTGCCGCTAATGCGTGCCGGCGGGGTGGATTCCCATGGTCTTCGAATCATTGCCATAATTACAAGGTTTTCGGAAACATTTCGCTTTCAGGCCATAGGTATTGTGACACCAACACCAGTAAGGTTTTTAAATGAGCGTGGTTTGGATTTTGACCGACCACGTGGAATTTACCGTTGAGAGGAATTCTATCGATGGGAGGAGGAAGCACTGGACTATTTGACATAAATGGCAGCTTAACAGAGTTTCATAACTCTGTCATTGCAATGTCGTTACTTGAAAACTGTTCAGTAATCGAGCGCTTTCCGTGGCTGCCAGTTGTGTTGTTCCTATAATATGCTAAATCGTTCATAATCGCACCTTGGAGTGTCGGAAGCGCAGCCTGCTCGGACTGTGGTAATTAAGATACGAACAGCTCTTTGAAAAGTCCCTAGTCGAAATGACGTTGGCCAATAACTTCCCGCATTCATGTCAACATATTCGCAGCCGATTGATTGCCTAACGTGATGTTGCGAAATAGTTAGTCAAGATGCTGCCAGTGGGTGAGATCGTTTCTCCTTAGGTTTGTTTTTGTTGTTTTATAATTTAAGGTTCCTAGTGGAACATAGGGCTTCAAGCTAGAAGCTTGAAGAAGTTTTGAAACACGGGTAACAAAGACGTCTGTGGACTGTGGTCGAAGGGGAGTAGGTTTAACTGAACGCATTGCGTTTGCAAGCCTGCTGATGTATGAGGCGTGATCAACCGCTGGTGGAAGCTAGAGGGAGAAATAAACTCACCTGGCACTCGTAGTGTTGTGCCATATACTAGCTTGGCGGTAGTAAAACCAGCAGCAGTTTTCAATGCGTTTCGTATCCCTAGGAGGATTGACGGAAGTGATTCAGTCCAATGTACATTGTTTGCAGCTGATAACCCAGCTTTTAACTGTCTGTGTAGATGTTCTACCATACCATTAGCTTGAGGATGGTAGGCTGTTGTTCGAAAACGCATGCAACCTATGATTTTAGTCTGGGAGAAGAATAAACCTCTTTCGAATTGCCACCCGCAGTCAGTTGTTATGGAGGATGGGTATCCATAGTTTGCGGTCCATTGTTCGACAAAGACGCGTGCGACTGTTTCAGCAGATACATCCTTGAGAGGTACTGCTTCAGGCCATCGTGTGAATTGGTCGATGCAGGTTAACATATAGGTATATCCATGAGATTCTGGAAGTGGGCCAACTAAATCTATATGGACGTGTTCAAAACGGACATCGGGGATAAGAAAGGTGCCAAGGGGGCTTTTGGTGTGTCTTTTTACCTTGCACTTTTGGCAAGCTAAGCACGTGTGTGCCCATTCCCTTACTTCTTTGTTAATACCAGGCCAACAAAGCCGACTAGTTACAAGCTTGACGGTATTTCGAATACCTGGGTGGGGTAAGCCATGCAACGTATTGAAGACGTTACGGCGATAACTTTTAGGCACGATAGGGCGAGGAGTACTAGTGGAGATGCCGCGGAGAATAGTATCTTTTCTTATACCTAAGGGTTTCTCGGCTAATTGTAGAGTTGTTTGCGATAACTAATGCTGAAGCTCTGTATCTTCTTTTTGAAGACGACCCAGTGTCACAAGGTCTATGCGATCTATTTGGGTGAGGGAAGAAATGCGCGACAAGGCAACTGCCACAGTGTTGTTCACTCCGGATACATGGCGAATATCCGATGTAAACTGTGAAACGTAATCTAGTTGTCGTGATTCCCTGGGTGAATACTTATCTGAAGTTGAGTTCAGAGAGTACGTCAGAGGCTTGTGGTCACTGAAAATTATAAATTCGCGACCCTCCACTGAATTTCGAAAATGACGTATAGCACAGTACATAGCTAGAAGTTCTCTTCCGAATGTGCTGTACTTCGTTTCAGCTAATTGAAGGCGCCTCGAGAAAAACGTGAGTGGTTACCACTCTCTGTTGACTAGTTGTTTCAGAACTGCGCCGACTGCAGTGTCTGATGCATCAACTGAGATACTTAACGGTGCCGTTGAATAAGAAGAAGGATGGCATCCGCAATAGCTTTTTTGACCTGAGTAAAAGCATTTTTAGCAGACGCGTCGAGTTCGATGGACTTGTTATTCCCTCGAAGAAGGTCTGTTAATGACTGAATCAGAGAAACAAAGTTGGGAATAAACCGTCGGTAATAACTTACCAAGCCGTTAAAAGTGCGAGGACTTTTCACTGTCTTTGGCTCCGGAAAGTTCAGTATCGCTTCGACTTTAGTAGCTAGGGGCCGAATGCCCTGGCAGTCGATAGTGTGATCCAGAAAATCGAGTGAGTCAACGCCTATTTGACACTTTTGGATATTAATGGTAACACCATGTTGGTGTAACCTTTCAAATGCCAAGTCCAAGTGTTTAAGGTGAGTCTCCTTGTCTGGACTGGCAATGAGTAAGTCGTCTAAGTATGCGTATACAAAGTCGAAACCACGAGATACTCCGTCAATGAAGCGTTGGAATGTTTGTACTGCATTCCGGAGGCCCAATGGCATACGCAGAAATTCAGAAAGTCCGAAAGGCGTAATGATGGCCGTTTTCGGAATATCTTCTGGTGCAATCGGGACTTGGTTATACGCTTTAACCAAGTCGATTTCAGAGAATATAGTTGGGCCAGATAATGTTACCGTCAAGTCGTGTATGTGAGGCAAAGAGTAGCAATCAGGGGTTGTTTAGGCGTTTACTCGCCGGTAATCAACGGTGGGTCGCAAATCGTCGCTCTTTTTTCGTTACCATATGCAATGGGGATGCCCATGGACTATTCGACGACTGGATGATGCCAAGGGAGAGCATACGGTCGAACTCATTTCTAGCGAGTGTCAGTATGTCAGGAGCAAGTCGTCGTGCTTTAGATGTCACGGGTTGTCCTTAGGTTATGATGTGATGCATAACATTGCTGGTTATGCACGGTAGGTCGTTAGACGGGCAATCAAGTTCCGGATATTTATCAACAATTGGTTGAAAAGTTGGATTGAGGATTGCTTTCATGTTAACGAGTGACAAGCTGGGGCCTACGTAAGTGATGCCTTCGATAGACAGTCTAGTAGTATTGTCAATCAGTCGTTTTCGGCAGACTTTTACGAGTAAATCATGATGATTAAGTAGGTCCGTGCCAATGATGGGCATTGTGACGTCAGCGAGAAGGAAAATTCACTGAATAGGTTTGCGTAAACCTACGTTCAGATAGACGTACTTCCTACGAAAGGTTGAAATTGGTTTTCCATCTGCAGCCTATAAGTTGAAGATAGGTTCCTTCCATCGATCTGCTGCTGTAGCAGGAAGGACGCTGACTTCGGCGCCTGTGTCGACTAAATATCTAGTCTGGCTGATTACATCATGGATGTAAAGAGGGCGGCTAGTGCCACCGGCGACGGTTGCCGCTAACGTGTGTCGGCGGGATAGTTTCCCACGGACTTTGAGGCATTGCCGAAGTTGCAAGGTTCACGGCAACATTTCGCTTCCTGGTGGTAGGTGTTGTGATACCAGCACCAGTCAGGATTTTTGAGAGAACGTGGGTTGGACTTAGAAGGACCACGTGCGTTCTGCCGTTAAGGGCATTTAGGACGTCGGTAAGAGGAATCGCCAGGCATGTTTGACCTAAGCATCTGCTGGATGGAGTTGCATAACTCTATCATTGCAGTATCCTTACTCGAAGTCTGTTCGGTAACTGCGTATATTTCGGTAACTGGTCGTTTAGTTATCTCTAGAATTTTATCTGCAGAGACAGCTAAGTCATCCGTAAGAACACTCTGAAGTGTTACAAATACAGTCTGAACTGACTGTAGCAGTTTGGATAAAAAGAATTCTTTGAACAGTCCTTCACCGAACTGACTTTGGCCAATAACTTCCCTCATTCATGCCAGCATGCTCACAGCTGGCTGATCTCCTAACTCGATGTTACGAAATAATTCATTCAGACGCTGTCGATCCGTGAGAACGTTTCTCTTTAGGAGGGATACTTTGAGCAACTTGTACGAGTTACTTACATCTGGACTCAACATCTGCACAGTTACGCACTTGCTGAATTCCCGCGGTAGGGCGTGAATAACTTCAAGGAACTGTGAACGTTGATCGGTTATGCCATGCTCACAAAAATCAGACTCAGCTATCTGAAACCATGTTTCAGCATATTCTAGCCAATATGGTACTAGCTGGATTGTTTTGGCGGTTGAGCGAATACGAATAACCTTGTTGCTAGGATCACTCATGACGAAATCGATGCCAATAACAATATAGTACAAGAAAAAACACAAAAAGGTACGAACTCACTGGGTTTTTCTGCGTGTTTATTGAAGATGAAGTTCGTGGTTGTGCTCACCAGTTTGGAGGTTGAAAGTATTGACGTTCGCGAACTGTACGGAGTATACTGACGCAAGATCTTATACCAAAAACTTCTATAGTGTTCGCTCTTAGAGTACCAAAGATAAGGCAAAAGACCAGATTTAGTCGTCCAAAGTACGTAATATATTTCGGTACCAAATCGCAGGATGAAGTGAATGCCTAGCTGGTTAATGATCGTGCACGCACGTGACACGACGGAGCTAAACAAGTAGACTTAAACAGTGAGTGTCAGCATCCAACGTTGAGTGATGATTGCTGTGGTCAATAATTTTGGGGAATTATTTAACGCTACAAACTCACCAGATTTGTCTGCACACTTAACAAAGATTGAATTCGTGGTAGCGCCCACCATTTTAGTGGCTGAGGGTGTTGACGTTCACGGATAGTACGAATTATGCAAACACAAATCTGATACCTACAACTTCTATAGTATTTGTTCAGCGTAGACCAAATCAAAACAAAACAACAGAATTGAACGGCCAAATTATGAATTATGTTTCAGGTCCAAATCAGAGTGCCGGATGATTGCTTAACTAGCCAAGGATCATGCACGAACGAACAAACGTAACACGACGGCGTGCTAAATGGCGTGGATGCCTGACTATAAGCCTTCAGCTAAACAAGTTGACTTAAACAGTGAGTGTCAGCATCCAGTGTTCAGTGATGAATGCTGTGGCCAAAAATTAGGCCAGCTGCGAATGGCCACTTTGCAGGGAGCCGACTGACTATAAGGCATACTTAGAACTCACATGTCTGCGTTTAGCATTGGTCCCTTAATGCAGACAGTCATTTCGGGAGAATCTACTTAGAAAACTAGAATGATAATACCAGACGCAGAATCTTACTGAAGGTTGAGAATCTTTGTCTTACAACTAAGGAGCGATCTCAGACAAATTTGCGGGTGTGTACCAGCTCGTAATATGAGCATTGAATATTGAAATAAGCTTGTTTAACTTACAAGCGTGATATATTTACAGAGTGCATCGCTTTTGAGAATGATTTGGTTACTGAAGGTCATACTGTTATTTGGATTTACGTATCACCAGAACTAAGTAAAGAGCTTCCTTCTAATCCCCATAATTACGTGTTCGCATAAAACCCTTATTCTCAGAAATTGCGTAAGTTTGTTGTTTATGAAGATCATTATTTTTTTTTACTGCTCTTCCGTCCCTAATTCAGATTTATTGGTTGAGGATAGAAGGCTAATCCTTTTCTAGTAAATTCTTGTGGTTTTTCAAACCCTTCTTGAATGAATCAGTTGAGATTGCAGACAGCACTTCTTCTGGGAGTCGGTTCCGAGAGTTTATGCCTCGCTGTGAAAACCACTACTCAACAGCAACATGATTTCTTCTTGGCTTTTGAACCCTCCTGCTATATCCTCTAAGGTGTTCCAACCTGGTGGGAGGGAAAAGAGAGAATAGGTCAGGTCCGTAATAATAATGAATTAATTGTTTTAATTGTCATGTTATTTCTTTGTTTCCTCAGAATTTTGGACTTTCGAAAAAATACAGCTATTTTGATATCCCCCAATATTATTACACTGATACCGCCTGAAGTAATTCCGCGTTTTATTTGGGAGAAGTGGTGTAAGTGCTCTCGCTTGACTGGTTTATGAAGGGCTTAGACAAGCACTAAAACATTAGAAAGGATTAACATAGGCTTCAAAACTTCTGTCCTCAGTCAATCTGAATTTGGGATGGTAAAGCGAGCTATCAAAAACTTCGGGTAGATAAGTTGTTGGAAAACATGGAAGTGTGATGCTTATTAGCCGTAAGTTGTCTGATTGTTTGCGATATTCTTCAGGCTTTGTCAAAGTGTACAGTGTGCCTAAAGTTGTGTACAGACCAATTCATATGTCGCGAAGAGGTTGAACTTCATATGCACATATGGTGACACCTATCTTTGGCGCTTCACTTTGTTCTCATCGCGTGACCTAACTTTTGACGTCAGAAGTAATTGAGTTGAGGATGAAGTGTGTTTAATGAAATAATAATAGTGGTAATAATAACAACAGTAATGTTCATTGTCCAGCACTATCAACAGCTCACAAAGATTCAGACTCGGAAGTAATGTCTAACTGCGTGGTTTTGGAAAATGTTAACTTTATCCCTTCATTCTTCATATCCACATTATTTCGCAAATGATTGGAAACTGTTTCATTCTAGTCAAATAACTAGTCACTCAATAGTCTGTTGAGTCACTGAAATCGTTATGGCAACCAAGGACTGAACTCCAAGCGATTACGTAAATTTCGTCAATTCCTTTCAACCACATTGGTTGTTTGGTCGCTGAATATTGATTACGTGTCTGCGAAATTTTCGATTACTGACCGGATAGTGGTGTTTCTTGGATCCTAATTCCGGAGAAGGTGTACGTTTCGGTTAAATTTGATTTGAGTAACTGGGTTTGTAAAACAAAGTTGTTAGCAGGTCTTCACTTAAGTATTTTCAATGGTAATCGTGGGGTTTCATCATTTCACTTACGTGGATCTCAATGCAGTTAGTCTGAACGTGTACCCCTAAATTGTATAAACTTTGTACAATTGGATTATTACAGGTTTCATATTTAATCCGTGAGAGCCGTTAGCTGAATTGCTGGGAATTGCTTCCCTTCATTTGATTTGCTTTAACTACTCCATCATGTTTTGGTTGCAATAGATAGCATGTTAAAAAGAAGTAGCTTTGGCTTGTGGCAATCGAATAATTATAATACGACATGTGGCTTAGTGATCTGTGCTCAAAAACGAGCTTATCCTTTAATATCCATGGTGTCTTGCCTATGTGATCATTAGGAATTATTATTCTCGTTGTTAGATCAAACAATACCATTATTTTTGTGCACAGAATGAACCTCGAAAGAATGCGAACATATGCCCATTTTATCAAGAATAACAGTGAAGTTTCCCAAATCTTCAGTGGCTCTCCACCGACCAATGCTAAACCATCTCCTATGATAGCATGGTAATTGCATGCCTTAGACTTAAAGTGTACCTTTCCATTTTACAAGAAAATCTCTTGGGATTTTTTCTAAGGTATCTTTCCTATGTAGAGTTGCTACTTTTGATATTCGTATTCCTACGAATCCAGAACGAGAATAAAGGATGGTCAGAAAGCGTCTGTACTATAGTTCAAGATCGTTTATAATCCTGCAAATGTAGTCTCTCCAGTCATTATATCGTTTACTGTGCATCTTCGTCCATCGTAGATATTCCGATATTTGACAACCTGAACTGAAGTTTTACGTTGTGATATCGCTCGCCTATAAAATCCTCTACTCCTGGCCTTCTGTATGTTACGCCTAAAGTTGTTAAATTATGTAAGGTCTTACTGATCAACCTTTCTTTATATAAATAAAACCCATCTCTTCACATATCGAATTCTTGTGTGAATTACCATACTCCACCATATATATACATATATATATATATATATATATGCAATGCACATTTCGTAACGAACGAACATCACTTAAAGGATATTTGAAAACCAGTGGTCACTAGATTTTGATGATTCTCTAAGTGAAGTTGCTTCATGCAAAAATGTACCCTCAAACCAATTTAATTCCCTACACAAACTCATGGTCTGAATATCAATTTTCACCTCATTAGAGGGTACTGCGTGGGTGTTCTGAAGTTGTAATCAGTTGTGATCAGTGGCGTCTACGATATCAATGTGTAGGGGGCACTCACAGAAGGCACTGGTCGACAGTAGCGCTGTATCACGAATTGACAAAGTTAGAATTCATGGGTAATTGAATTCCGGCCCAAGTGGCTGGATGGCCACACAGTCTGGTCTCGTAACCTGAAGGCCAGGATTCGATTCCTGGACAGGTCGTGGATGCACACCGCCGGAGAATCCTAAATTAGGATTAGGCAACCACCTAGCGCCCTGTGATTTTCAATGCTTCTCTAATTGGTGTTGATTTTAACGAAATCCGCATTGAAATTAATCGGAATCCCTACAAAATGCCCATAGTATAGATATGGTTTTCCAATGAAAGTCCGAGTTTTTCTTGCGGACAAGCAGCAACTTAAGCAGTCAAGTACTCACAAAAGCCATTTGATTTTCTGAATACGGTGGGATTACATTGAACAATTCCTTTATTCATCAGTCGGACTTAACTCTTGAGTCCTTCCACAACATTTGTAACACCCATGGTGTAGATACATTTATATCATTGTCTTTATATTTCTCTCCATTAACAATGCTACTTATTGGATGTCAAGGTATAGTATGTAGAGTGCTCTGAACACCTAGAGCTGCAATCTGCGAATGCTTGGCATGCGATTCGCTACCGCCAAATGTTAGGGGATGCTACAGGACTGGACTACATTGACTCCTAGCTTAGAAATACGGAGTAAAATGGTAGAGCGCGTTGACCACTTCACTTATTTGGGAAGTTGCATCAGCCAGTGCCAGCAGGTTGATCGCTGACGAAATCTCAGCACGGATATAGAAGGCTCGTTCGGCATATGCCAGTTTACACCGTCTCTGGTGTAGACGTGATATCCGGCTATCGACCAAAGGGTGTGTGTACTGCTCAGCAGTCCACTCCGTCCTCCTTTATGACTGTGAGACCTGGCCGTTGAAAGTGGAAGACATGAAAAAGCTCGCTAGCTGTCTTTGATCATAGGTGCCTGCGTTCTACCTCCCGTGTGAAGTGGTATAACAAGGTGAGCAATATTGAGGTTAAGCGTCGAGTGCTAGGTAAGGAGGGGAAATCAATCGACGAGGCTGTGAAGTTACATCGACTGAGATGGTTAGGATATGTGTTATGTATGCCTAGCCATCGCCTTCTTCGATGGGCAATGTTAGGTGACATAGGGTTAGGTTGGAAAAGAGCCAGTGGTGGTCAAACCAAAACATGGCTTCGTCAGTCAATGAAATCCACAACAGTTAGTTGAAGTCACGTAGGAAGGTGTAAACTTCGTGGTTGGGGTCCTCGGGACGGTAAAAACCAATGGCTGGAGACAATTGGTGATATGGCTCAAAATCGTTCTCAATGACGCAGATGCATCCACTCCTTGTGACTTATAATATCCAATAAAACTATATTGTTCTTCGATATTACTATTCTTTTTGCCTCATATCTCTATTTACTGTTTCTAGTTTGCATTTCTTTTCACTTTCTTCTATTGCTTTGCGTGCTACCAGGAGTGTGGCGACTCGAACTGCTGCACATCGGTGCGAAGTCCCATGTTCAAACCAGTCAGTCAATACATGGAAACTTACGTTGTTATGTGCTGATGTTAGGTTTTATATTGGTAACACTTGCTTTAAAGGAGAGGCCTCTACAGGCTAGTCGCCCAGCATTTCGCTGCATATGATACGTTTGAAATCCGTGTCAAACATATTCCAAGTTCGGTGATAGATGGTTAGAGGTAACCGGTAAGAACTTCTATAACTGGGTCTCTTTTTTATTCGCACTTGTCAGCAAGGTGCATCTGCAACCTTTAAGGATCTGATTTCCTCTCTGATATTCAGGCCTTCATCATCCACTGCTGCAGTCGGAGACAGTATCACTGAGTTGTTTGGGCTAACGATCAACCTTCTGTAGAACACTCCATTATAGATAAGATTTTATTTTGATAAATCACAGTGTTCTACAGTAATAGTAAATGATGACGTCTCGAGCACAAACTATCGGACATAACGATATCATGTCCTGTAGAACAGCTATAGATACACTGATAGGTCATGCGTCTAGCCCCTAATGTGGGAGCTGGCTGAATTCTATTAGTAAGCTGTGCAACGTGGTCGCCAAACTAGATGACTCTCTGTCGTAATGTTAAATGGTTGATGGAAATTAACAAGAAGCCTTGGGCCCAAGTGTTGTGCTTCTTGGTACTCGTAAGCAAGGTGTATTTGCAACCCTGGGGTACCTCATATCATCTCTGAGACTCGACCGGCACTCCGTCGAACTCTGCTTTTATCTCAAGATATTCAAAGAGTCTTGCAGTTCTAATTATTTGTAAGTAGGAGTAACTGTAGTTTGAATGGCCTACCAGTTCACGTACTGGATGTTCAATCAGTAAATTACTGATTCCTTCCTTGCTTGGTATAATGGAAACGTAGTCAGCATCACGAGTTCCCGCATAATGTGTGTCACTTTGTGTTCATGACTAGACTGTGTTGATATTCCTGTAGCATTAATCACTTCTACGTTAAAGTTTATTGGTAATTAGGTCACTTTAACTTGACCGACCTTCACTGGTGCTCAACATCAGCGATTTAAGCCTATTTGTAAGCAGTATGAAATAAAACCTACCAACCTTAAATACGTGCGAATTATAATGAAGTAAAGCGTATCCATATTCCACGTGTGAGGTGATAGCGACATTATCACTTTCGTTTGTTTAGTTCCTTAACATCTTGCCTACTACATTGTCCATTGTCAAACATCCTAAGAAATTTATCATCGATTTCGTTCCATTGCTAACGCTGCTCTAAAGCAATCAGTGAAAATAGCTGTATCAAATCTCCGAAACGAGACATAACGTCAGGATCTGACGACAAAATTCAATAAGTGTACAAGTACGTCGAATTATTGACTACATTAACTAAGTTACTAGACAGCATGAGTTTCAGCAAGTCCCGTCGAACTTCTCTTGATCGTTGATTGTCCCAGTTTATAAGAAAGAAGACAAGCCTTACTGAGATAATCCAATGAGGATCAGCTAATCAAGGCACTCTACTCGAGATAGTACAGGTGAGTAAGAGCTGATGGACTGTTGTCATACAAATGACGACCACCAGGTGTTCATCAGGGATTCACACTATCACTACTCTTATTGAATTTCACCCTATACACTGCATTGCATAAAATATACATCCGAGTTTATGAATCACTTTGTAAAACTCGCCAAATTGATTAGGATGGTTACACAATGATTTCGAAAGTTAAGCCTGGATTTTGGTTGTTGTTATTGTTGTTGCAAAATGGTGTAAACATTGTAGTGTTTTCAGCTTACACTTCAAGTGAAGCAAATTCGAAACAAATCAAATCCCTACAAATAAACTCTTGAAAAGCAATTAATGCTTGAGTATTCCATATGGCCCAAAACGCACGTATTGAAGAGAAAACCACCCGATATTATAATTCGCTTGAGAGAGGGATTTCGAAAGTAGTGTGCACACAGCTGTTCAATTGCTAAAGTTGTCATCATTCTTTTGACTGGCAATTACAAATTCATCACATTTTTAGTTAGCAGGCAGATGAACCTCAACCAGTGATAAGTTGTTTCAGTTATTTTCGCAATTAAATACACGATAGCCACACGAAATTTCAAGAGTTTAATGTGCACACGTAGGAGCTGGTTCGAAGGCCACTTTGTGATTTTCTGTTGGGCTGTACACACGTACTTCTTTCAGTTTGTAATGTATATATACATATTCGTTGGATAAGTTTTAAATCTTTTCACTTGGATAATCTGGACCTTTGTTATTTTACTCAAACATACAGCTAACAAGAGCACATTTCCTCAATAACAAAGTCTTTTTAATTTGTGTTTGTCGTCAGTACTTACAGGTTAGGTAGAGTACTGAATTATTGCATAACTTGGCGAATTAAGTTAAGTAAGAGTTAGTGAAATGTAACTTATCAACACCACTGCTAGTATCTTTACATATTCTTCGTTATCATAAGAATCCACTTTTTAATTTTATGGACAAAATCTTTCAAAATGCTGTAATATTATTAGTTCTATTAAAATTGTTATACACGACTTTTTAGGGTTTCTTGATAATGGGAGATGCAAGGTTTACAAAACTGGCTAAACAGAGAGAACTCTTGCGCAGCAGACAAAAACAGAAGTACGCACACCAAGTTCTTTCACTTCAAGAGCGTTCCGAGAGTGCTGGAATTAATAATTTCAGAATTGATAACTGGGGAGAAATTACTCGTGTACAACAACCCACCTCCAATATCCGTTCGAATTACGACAATAGTGATGAGTGTTACGGTAAGATTGATAAAACAATCATCATTAAGTTTATACTGTGATTTCTCATTTAGTTATTTTTTTAATTTAACACGACACGGACCATGTAAGGTATCAGCTACTCAGATAAATGAATTTGTCACTCACCTCGACTAGTTTTCTAAAGAGAATGAGTGTAGCCACAGGCTCTGGCTTCTCACTTATAACTTATATATATATATATATATATATATATATATATCCAATAGTTGGGAAGCTAAGCCAGTTAAAAAATTAATTTACTGGTTGACTAAGGTGGGGCCTGTGGTTGTCGATTCAGATTATTCTATTTGTTTCACCTCAACCCAAAGAAATGATTTTGAATTCTAGTTTACGCTGGTTTCCTTCGATAAAATTTGTTCATATTAACTTGAGACCAAATAAGCTATATTACATCCCTCTTCAAAAAGGGGAATGTGTTCGAACACCAAAATTATTACTGTACGCCATGGTCTGAATATCAATTTTCACCTCATTAGAGGGTACTGCGTGGGTGTTCTGAAGTTGTAATCAGTTGTGATCAGTGGCGTCTACGATATCAATGTGTAGGGGGCACTCACAGAAGGCACTGGTCGACAGTAGCGCTGTATCACGAATTGACAAAGTTAGAATTCATGGGTAATTGAATTCCGGCCCAAGTGGCTGGATGGCCACACAGTCTGGTCTCGTAACCTGAAGGCCAGGATTCGATTCCTGGACAGGTCGTGGATGCACACCGCCGGAGAATCCTAAATTAGGATTAGGCAACCACCTAGCGCCCTGTGATTTTCAATGCTTCTCTAATTGGTGTTGATTTTAACGAAATCCGCATTGAAATTAATCGGAATCCCTACAAAAAGCCCATAGTATAGATATGGTTTTCCAATGAAAGTCCGAGTTTTTCTTGCGGACAAGCAGCAACTTAAGCAGTCAAGTACTCACAAAAGCCATTTGATTTTCTGAATACGGTGGGATTACATTGAACAATTCCTTTATTCATCAGTCGGACTTAACTCTTGAGTCCTTCCACAACATTTGTAACACCCATGGTGTAGATACATTTATATCATTGTCTTTATATTTCTCTCCATTAACAATGCTACTTATTGGATGTCAAGGTATAGTATGTAGAGTGCTCTGAACACCTAGAGCTGCAATCTGCGAATGCTTGGCATGCGATTCGCTACCGCCAAATGTTAGGGGATGCTACAGGACTGGACTACATTGACTCCTAGCTTAGAAATACGGAGTAAAATGGTAGAGCGCGTTGACCACTTCACTTATTTGGGAAGTTGCATCAGCCAGTGCCAGCAGGTTGATCGCTGACGAAATCTCAGCACGGATATAGAAGGCTCGTTCGGCATATGCCAGTTTACACCGTCTCTGGTGTAGACGTGATATCCGGCTATCGACCAAAGGGTGTGTGTACTGCTCAGCAGTCCACTCCGTCCTCCTTTATGACTGTGAGACCTGGCCGTTGAAAGTGGAAGACATGAAAAAGCTCGCTAGCTGTCTTTGATCATAGGTGCCTGCGTTCTACCTCCCGTGTGAAGTGGTATAACAAGGTGAGCAATATTGAGGTTAAGCGTCGAGTGCTAGGTAAGGAGGGGAAATCAATCGACGAGGCTGTGAAGTTACATCGACTGAGATGGTTAGGATATGTGTTATGTATGCCTAGCCATCGCCTTCTTCGATGGGCAATGTTAGGTGACATAGGGTTAGGTTGGAAAAGAGCCAGTGGTGGTCAAACCAAAACATGGCTTCGTCAGTCAATGAAATCCACAACAGTTAGTTGAAGTCACGTAGGAAGGTGTAAACTTCGTGGTTGGGGTCCTCGGGACGGTAAAAACCAATGGCTGGAGACAATTGGTGATATGGCTCAAAATCGTTCTCAATGACGCAGATGCATCCACTCCTTGTGACTTATAATATCCAATAAAACTATATTGTTCTTCGATATTACTATTCTTTTTGCCTCATATCTCTATTTACTGTTTCTAGTTTGCATTTCTTTTCACTTTCTTCTATTGCTTTGCGTGCTACCAGGAGTGTGGCGACTCGAACTGTTTCACATCAGTGCAAAGTGGTCAGTCTGTCATCATCCGTCCCATCAAGAGCTCATCGACGCTCTTTCCTAATTGCGTCGTTGTAGAATACACGAAAGGAAACTGTGGTATGAGTAGCTGTGTTGATGGGCCTTCATTTTTCATGTTCGGCTCTTGTTGGTGTCAACAAATTTGAATTTATGCCGATGTAGACGTATGTATTATTATTTCCTCTGGTAAATATCCTTTTACGTCTCTCTTCGTTGTATTTTCTTGCTGATGTGGTGGACTCTGAAATGAGGTAGCCGTTTTTATTTCTTTTTTGGTGTGGACAAGCGATATTCGTGATCACTTCATGTGCATCTTTTTCAACTCATTTGAATGTTTGTGAAATATAAAACAAACCTTTTTTGCTGACCGTTCGACTGGGAGTGATAGGTTAGCGTCCGCACATACTGTGTGCAGTTTCTGCGAGAGAATTTCTGAAGTGCTTATGACGTGAATTGAGTACTGTTGATATGTACAATGGTATCTGAAATGCCATGGCACGCGAAGGTTCCTGTTACAGTTTGAATACTGGAGGGTGAAGTGATTGCCATTACTTTCGGACACTTCGAATCAGCGCCTACTAGAATCGAGAAATACACAATACAGCAGCCCAGCGAAATCCATGCGTAGTCGGGAGGCTATGCTTCCGGTTGTTCTTGTGCAGGGTTCTTAGCGGCAGCTTCACATGGTTGGCACCAGCTGACAAACTGTGTTGTGTCGACGTCCATATTAACCCGTGTATATAAATTCCGGCGATAAATTTCATCCGTGCCTGGCCACTGTGAATCTGTTTCAAAACGGTCTCTCGCAAAATATCAGGTGTCATCACTCGTTATGCAAAAATTAGTTAATTACTAACGGTGTTGAGGCCGATGCGCTTGTGGGATAGTTACTTGAAGTCGTTATTTGACACAGATACCAGCTAAGAGTGGCGAATGTACCTCATAGCTTGTTGTAAAATGTCATCTGTTCTTGTAATCTACCTTGATTTCTCTGTTGCAGTTGGTAGTTACTTTACACTGCGCGTTAACGAATTCTGAGCGCTGCTTTCTATCTGCATAGCCTCAATAAGCGTTCCCTTTTCGACGTAAGGTGTTTACTTATTAGATTTGAGAGAGCATCCAAATAGCCGAAATTTTTTGTGTGATGACCTTTTATTTCGGGGTCGCATCCCAGTAGTATCACAACTCATCGCTGTAGTCTGTTGGTCGAGTAAACTAGGTATCTATGATCCAAATAGAGGAAGAAGTGGTCTGGTGATCTGTTAACAGTGTGAAGCTCCTGCCATACAGCTTTCTATGGGACATTCAGACTAAGCTAAAGCAACAGCCTCCTCTATATGTGTGTAACACTTCTGCTGCACAGTGAATGCAAGATGTGGATAACAGCCATCAGGAAAATTATTTAGTAGTACGCCAACTACTCCTGTATGCTGCGATTATAATAAGCAACAATTCGTATCTTACAATGCTTTAAACTGGCTGAACATCCTTATTGCATCCATAAAACCAGACTCATAGATAATCCTTATGCAACAGCTGGTTTTCTATAGATCTTAGATTGTGTGTAATGATTGCTGGATTGCTGAGTAGTAGGTAGTCATCCCCAGAAAGAAAGAAGTGTGGACTGCTTATGACGTTATCACTGGCTGGAGATAGATGTGCAGGTGATAGTATCTGTAAACAAGCGAGCAACTTCGTCGTTATAATCTGCTGCTTCACTAACTTCTCAAGCCGTGGAGGATCTAAATCCACATTCAAACCGTCACCAAAATTGATATGTCTGCAGATCATAATGCTGCTGCTTTTTTGGTTTGATACGGAAACGTACTAGGTAAATGCGGTTCAGTTTGTTGATTTTGTTTTAAGCCATTTTTCCTGTTCAAAATACTTATTTTAAGATTCGCCAAGAGGGATACAGCAGTCACAATTCGCATTCGGCTTTATCACAAATATACTCGTGGTAATAGCTCTACTCACATCCAAATCTGCAGGAACTGATTTGTTATCTAAAACTCAGTCATTTCGTTTAGGATGCTTGAATAAGGTATAACTGGGTGCAAAACTCCGTATGTGTCCTAAAGACGTTTTTCTTCACCTGCGACAATAATTCCATTATGGATAAGATTTTATTTTGATAAATCACACAGTGTTACACAGTAATATCAATTTATCAAAATAAAATCTTATCCATAATGGAGTTACACTCTACCACAGTGCCCAAGTTTTATACTTATATCAACTGCGACAGTAATACCGCAATCATTCATTACAGCGAAACTTGTTTTCGAATGAAGCGCCGTTTTCAGATGCGTTAGTCAATTTCGTTATGTATCCTGGTGCGTTTATTTACAAACTTTTTATATTTTAGCGTATGATGGTCCACAGGCATATGAGACAACTAATCCCGACTCTCTCCCTTTCAATGAGATTCAAGTTATTCGTGTAACACCTAGTTCAACATTATGTGACAACAATTCTAATCATCAGTACATTGCCAAGGAGTCATCAATTAACATCAGAGAGGATGAAGTCACTGGTTCTTTGGAAAATCCTACTATGACGCGTTCAAGCACCATGTATTCTTCACTCGACCAAGACGCCGTTATGGGTTCAATAGGTAAATAAATATTTTATTACTATTCTTATTTCATACTTGCATTCCAAATACAGTGTAGGCCTTCAACGGCGAATCTCCCTTCCACTCAATTCCCCACCTTCACTTTCAACTAGCTATACGGTCGCCCACTGGCTTTCATTTCCCCCTCACATGATCTTCTTCATGTCACCCTCGGATGCCCTATTCATCGCTTCCTATTTAGGTCCTTATTCCACATCTGGCGTGTGATATCACTTGAGGGTCTCCTCAGAGTATACTCAACCTATATCCCTTTGTTGGGCAGTAGGTTGTTGGCTGTTTTGCTGCCCTCTGGCTTACCCTGTTGCCTATCTTTTCAGGTGACCCATCTGATATTCAATATGACACAGAAGCGACTATTGATGAAAGTTTGCTTGTTGAAATTGCTTTGGTTGACGTGCGCGCCATGTATCTGATCCATATGGAAGCCACTGATTGACTTGACATGAGCGTTAAAAATTCGGATCTCGTTTCTTATGTTGAGTACTGAGAATATCCACACTGATTTTAGAGTAATGGACGCATGTCTTGCCTTCACAATCCGATCCTGACTAGCTTTGATACCGTCATATGTGCCACCTGTTGAAAGGATGTTTCCCAGATAAGGGGAAGAGATGACTATCTTTAAATTTCTCCTGTTGATGCTAGTCGGTGTTGGTGGGTCGGGAATCGTTATGTATCCTCTCTATGTTCGTCTGAAGTCCTTTCCTCACTAGCTTTTCTACCAACTTGGTGGTTTTCGCTTGTAAATCTTTGAGTTTATGCGAAGTGAAACATGGATCGTCTGTGAAGTGAAGACCTTTTGTATGGTTTCTTTTTCGGTCAAACGTATGTTCATCTTCTCACTCCCCACTGTCTACCACAGTATCTAGTCCACTACAATCAGGAAGATAGTCGGTGATAGTAGACAGCTTGTCTTACTCCTCTCGTCGTTCCAAATGCTTAGTTGAGCTGCCCGCTGTAAACTACTTGGCATAGATAATCATCACACAGCTGTTGAATGAGATTCATAAATGTTCGATTATGTGTACTGTTGAAATGAGGTCTGCATTGAATGGTTGGAGGCAATCGGCAGGAAGCCTTGGACCTAGGTTTCGTGCTAGTTGGCACTCATCAGCAAGGCGTATCTGCAACCTTGAAGGAACTGATGTCCCTTCTGAGATTCGAACCCGCGTCACCCAGTGCTGCAGTCAGAGACGTTACCGCTGAGCTATTCAGGCTCGCGACTGACATCCTGTAGGACTGTATTGGATAGTTTTGATTGCACACTAGTCAGTAACTAGTGTAATGTGTCTAGTCCTATGTTCGGTGCAGACTGAATTCTATCAGTTACTGACTAGTGTACAATCAAAACAAATGAGGTCTGCGCATAATTTTTTTTGAATCCAGCCTGTTCTGAGCGAAATCTTCTACAAAGGATGATACGACATAGTACTTTACTTGGACTGGACTGGAGTATGGTGCAGCGCCAGTTCTGGCATAGTCTGTAGTCGCCAGTTTTTGTCACTTGGGTTATGTATGCTCTTTTCTCATTCGTTGTTCATCTTTGTACTGCCTCATTCTCTGTTTAATGGAAACAAAAAACCTAGTTCAGCGAAAATTCTGTTTTCGGCGAATTCGTATTTTTTTAGCTGTAACATCGCAAACATATATGAGTCATTTTGTATGCATATGTACATTAAGTTTGTCAAACAGAAATACAATTGGTTATGGTTATTTTAACTAGCAGGTGAAAATTAATAAGTTATTCTCTGTTTCCTAAGCATTATCTCTCCCGTTAGGTTTTCACGTGTCCTTTGAGAGCGATTCCAGCCTTTTCTTCTTCGTAAGGTGTCTATATAGATTTTGCGAGTTTCACCACGGATTGATATCAGTTAGTGAACCATTGTTCTATGAGTTCGCCTTTCAACCGTAAGGTCCTGGGTTCGAAACCCAATGGTTGCGTACTGCCGATGAGTCCCAAATTAGGATCAAACAGATGTTCAGTACTACATGCTTTTCAATGATCTTCTATCAATCCATGGTCAAACTCGAAAAACAAATCAAGTCCTTACAAATCAACTATATACAATTCCATTCATGTTGCTTTTCGAAAGGTTCCACTGTTCCTCCACATAGGCCTTCATTATTATTATATTATTGTTCCCTTGGGTTCCTAGTGGAACATAAGGCTTCAACTGCACGTCTCCACTTTCTTCTGTCTTCTGCTGTACTTTTCACCTGCATCCATGTTAGTCCATACTGCTTCAGCTCCTCTTCTCACGATCTCCTCCATGTCACCCCTGGACGTCCCACTCGCCGCTTCCCTTTTGGGTTCCACTCGAGGGCCTGACGCGCGATATCACACAGCGGCCCCCTCAGCGAGTATCCAATCCATCTCCACTTTCTCATGCATATTTTTGGGTGATTGGTTCTTGTTTTGTTTGTTCCCATAGTTTCTTGTTGATGATTCTTTCCGGCCATCTGATCTTGAGTATAGAACAAAGACAGCTGTTGATAAAGGCCTGCAACCTGTTGGAAATATTCTTTGTGATCCACCAAGTTTCTGATCCGTATAGAAGAACTGACTTGACGTTTGTATTGAAAATCCGAATTTTGTTGTTGAGTGTTGCTGAGTGACGAAGATTTCCAGATTGGTTTCAGGTTGATGAATGTGTTTCTTGCCTTCCCGATTCTCTATTTGACATCTTCGTCCGTTCCTCCTGTAGTTGAGACAATGCTCCCTAGATAAGTGGATGAAGTAATCTCTTTCAAATCCCTCCCGTTGTTGGTGATTGGCGCTGGATGTTGCTGCTGTTATTGTTGTTGGGTTGGTTATTTTCATAACCTCCGTCTTGTCTATGTTCACCTGGAGTCCCGTCTTTGCTGCTTCTGCGACCAGTTTGTCGGTTTTCGCTTGTAAGTCTTCGATTTTGTGTGACATCAAACATAAGTCATCCGCGAAATCCAGGTCTTCTAGGTTCTTCATGTTGGTCCAGGATATCCCTGTCTTCTCGTTTCCCACTGTCTGACGCATAATCCAGTCCACCACAATTAGGAATATCATTGGTGATAATAAGCACCCTTGTGTGACTCCTGTGTTTACTCCTAACACTTCGCTGAGTTTTCCGTTGTGGATCACTTGACATGTGCCGTTGTCTTCCGCCTGTTGAAAAAGGTTGATGAATATTTGGAGTACGCTGTAGTACTCGAGTATTTTCCAAATTACTTCGCGGTCAACGCTGTCGAAGGCCTTCTCAAAGTCTATAAAGCTGAGGTAGAGGTTTGATTGCCATTCCATGCTTTGTTCGATGATGATGCATAGAGTTGCAATTTGGTCAGAACATGTTTTGCCTTTCCTGAATCCAGTTTGTTCTGGTCGGAATTCTGCAACCAGTGCGTCCTTTATTCTCTCCATGATGATGCGACTCAGAATTTTACTTGGTGTCGACAGGAGCATGATTCCTCACCAGTTCTTGCAGAGTTCTTAGTCGCCCTTCTTTGGTAGTTTCACAAGGTAACCTTTCCTCCAGTCAGTAGGCATCTTTCCCTCCTTCCAGACTTTTTGCAATAATGGAGTCAGCATATCTGCTGTCGCCTCTGGGTCCGCCTTCAGTGCTTCAGGGGGTATTCTGTCTGGTCCAGCTGCTTTTCCAGCTTTCAGAAGCTTGATTGCATTCAAGACTTCAGCTTTCGTTGGAGGATTGGTGTCAACTCGCAGTTGTGTACGCGCTGTTGTTGGTATTTCTAGACGGGTTGCAGGTGGTGGTCGGTTCAAGAGTCCTTTGAAGTGATCCGCCCATTGTTTAATCTGTCTTTCTTCCTTGGTAATTGGGTTCCCTTGGCTGTCTTTTATGGGTTTCACTTGTGTTGATCTCTTCCCGGATAGAGACTTGGTTATCTGATATAGTGTCCTCAGGTCCCTTTTGCCTGCTGCCTTCTCAGCTTCAGTAGCCAGGTTGTCGTAGATTTGTCTTTTATCCTTCCTGGCACTCTTCTTCACTTTTTTTTCCAGTGCTGTGTAAATTGAGCTCAGCGTCTCTTTCTCTTGTCCGTCTTTGCATTGAATCATTTTCTCTTTCACCATCCTCCTCTCCTCTATTAGCTTCCAAGTGTCCGTTGAGAGCCATTCCTTGTCTTGTCTCTTCTTTCTTCCTAAAACCGTTGAACACGTTTCGTTGAAAATCACCTTCAGAGAGTTCCAATGGTCTTCCACGCATGATTCCTCAGTGGTGCCAGGTAGTGTTTCTTGCTTTGCTCTGACGGTTGCAGTGAAAATGTCGCTTGTGGTTGTGTCCTTCAGTTTTTGAGTGTTGAACTTGCATTGTGGCCTATCCCCAGCTATCCTCGAGGCTTTTAGTTTCATCTTGAAACTCCCTTGTACTAGATAGTGGTCTGAACCCACATCTGCTCCTCTCCTCGATCTTGTGTCCAGTAGGCTCCGTCTCCACTTCCTTGATATTGAAATGAAGTCTATCTGGTTTTTGGTGTGTCCATCCGGTGAAACCCATGTCGCCTTGTGTATATCCTTGTGTTTGAACACACTGCCACCAATCACCAAATAATTGAAGGCACAGAGGTCTGAGAAGAGTTCACCATTGTCGTTCATTTCACCGAGGGCTTCACGACCTATGGTGAGTTCTCTTCCTGTATTGTTTCCTCCCGGTTTCGCATTCATATCACCCATTAGGATTCTGATATCGCCATTTGGGACGTTGTCCATTACTGTTTGTAGCTGTCTGTAGAAATCCTGCTTTTCTCTTGTTCTGAGACGTTTGTAGGCGCATAGCATTGAATGATTGTAACCTTCCTTCCTTTTGAGTTAAACCTAGCTGTCATTATCCTGGAGGAGATTGGTTCCCACTGCATGAGAGTTTTGGCTGCTGTTGTTGACATCATGATGGCCACTTTCTCGGTGTGCTCGTGGTTGTCCTCTGGGTGACCGGAATAGATTACTGTCTCTCAAGTTGATCGTTGGCACCTTCCACATCCGTTCCATCTGC